GTTCGCAAGGCTGGGCGGGGTTGTGAGCAGGCTTTCATTTCATCTTCTCTTATTATTTCTTATTATTTCTGCTTTTCATCTCATTACAAAAATTCTGCGCTTTTTCTCCATCTGCGCATAAAATCTAGACTGACAACCTGCTTGTTAAATCATGCACCTGCTTTCAGGCGTAAAAACCCTGTTGTAGAGGTCTCAGTCCTCATTTGTTAGACTTACCTGTCTTTATAAATGTAACTTACTCTCTCTCTCTCTCTTTCTCTCTCTGCTATTGGCGCGCCTAGTTGTGATGAAGCCGAGACCCAAGGTCGGCAGAGCATCCCAGACCACGCCACCACTCCCCTTATTCATGGCTCACACACGACGGGTTTACGTGGCTCTAGTAAAAAAAAAATCTGGATACTGTATAATATTATTTGAAGCAGAAAATGTTCGTCTGGAATTTAATTTCGTCTTTTTCGTCCAAGGAGCTTCTGGACTAAATTAAATGCCGGACTAATGTTGATTTGTTCAGCTTTTCAATACACTCTTGTGATCCATGCACTGAATTTTCAACCAGACAAACTCCCTTTCTTTGGAGTTGGACGAAATTATTGACCGACGAAGTTTTCTGCCTGTACAGTAGGTCGCGCAAGCGATCTTGGACACCAGAATGCGTGACTTTTTGTGAGCATGGGATTAAAAAAAAATGAGCAACTTATTGCGAGTACACTGTACATGTACCTCGTTGAGATCGGCACGCGATGTGCGTGGCGCACTGCAGCCACCAGCACCTCCAGCACCCGCTCCGGCAGTGGGCGACAGCAGCGGAGCCGTGCTCGACGACGTGCTCGCCGCGGTGCCGCGTCGACTCAGCGCCAGCGGTGCACTGCCCGCGTTGGTGTTGGTGTTGATACTGGTGCTGGCATCGCCGTTAGTAACGGTGACGATGCCACCGCCACCACCGCCAGCGCTAGCAGTATCAGCAGGATGTGCATGCGCAGCCTGCGCCTGTGTCATCACACACCAAACACACAATGAAGACACATTTATGGAAGAAAAAAACTACACGTTACGCTATAATGGCCACTAACACCACCAGTTACAAAACAATCAGCTCATGCGATAACATCCGAGTCCTTGCAATGAAGACAAACGTTCCTGATAAGCAACGGATAACCATGAATACACTCGGACGTCTCTTATCCGGGCACCTTGGGACCGGGCACTGCCCGTATCTCAGATTTTCTCGTATCTCAGAATAACTCATCTACCATGTATCATATCATTTTTTGAAGAAGTTTATCTGGCACGCATTGCACATGTTCAGGTTACAGAAAGAATCCATAGATAAAAATGTGTGAATTTCACAGGTTGGGAGTGACAAATAAGCACTTGCGCATACGAAAAAAGTTCAACCCCCCTCCCATTTTCAAAGCATTTTTGCCATAGGAACTCAAGCTGAAGGTGCCCGGTAGAGAGACGTGCCCGTATCTGAGGCGTCCGGATAAGAGACGTTTGAGTGTTTTACACAGTGGTTTCCGGAGTACACTAGTAAACTGTACTGGGGGTTGTTATGGCCCGCTGGAGTACAAGGTGTGCACAGACGTTTTTTTGTCATGAAATCCACACATCTACCCTGATGATCACCGTTAATTTGACCTTGGCAGTAAAAGCCGCAGCAGCGACTTTGTTTGGGCGATCTACTGGTATTAAAAGTGCGGCTTACACTCCAGGGGTACGTTGACGCCGCTGATGGGGTCTTTCTCGGCACTTGTGCCAGTGGTTGTGAGACTTATCTACTCGCCCCCACCGTTAGGCGCTGCATCTGCCGCAAGGGTTTACCGGGTGTAATAGCGACCGTCGTGAGTTCCCTTTGGGAACGGACACGATAATTTACTTTTTGTTTACTTACACTCCAGATAATACACTGCACCGCACAAGCGCTTTTTAAGCAGGCAAATGAAATGATTGTCGGCACAAACCCGTGCATGAGTAGGGCGTTTTATTATGCTGCTGACCTACGCAAAGTGGTACCTATGGCCTGCCACCTCACCGCCAGCGTTCAACAGCTCAGGCCCGTCGCACCGACTTTGGAGGTGGGGTGGCTATGGAAGGGGGGTCGGGGGGTCCTCCCCCGGGAGAAAATTTCAAAAGTTGAAGCCAATTACAAGCATTTCCGGGAATTTGGTGCCATTTCAGTGTACGGTAACTACAGTGAAAGTCTTTTTGATTCTGAAACAAACGAAGAAGCTACGATCGGGGACAAACATTACCCTCCCCCGGGAAAAAATTCAAAAAATGAAGCCAATTGCAAGCATTTCCAGGCATTTGGTGCCATTTCAGTGTAACTGCAATGAAAGACTTTTTTCTGCAACAAACCACGATTGGGGACAAGGATTTGTCACGTTTGCGCTAAGCTGCGATCATTGTGCTTTGTTGTAATGTGCTCAAAAAAACAACAACAAAAAAACAGGCGAAAAAGTGGGGCGGCCTCAGCCGCCCCGGCTGTGACGGCCTTGACATCTCCCATCGCTGTTCTCGCCACCTTTTTCAGATATGTCTTTATATCATTTCCATGCTTGCATTTCAGATACAAGTTCCAGGCCGATTATAAGCCTCTTCAGGCAGTGAAGTTCGGTAAAAACATTTAGAGATAAATTCTGAGAAAAGAACACAGCGTGTCATTTATCCATATGGACGAGAACAGGACAGCTCATTGTACAAGATTGCACCATGCGGTCCAGAACAAGGTGCTCCACCCTCCACCATCCATCATCCACCCTCCACCCTCCATCATCCACCCTCCATCATCCATCATCCACCCTCCACCATCCACCCTCCACCATCCACCGTCCACCCTCCACCATCCACCGTCCACCCTCCACCATCCATCTGGCACTAAGCAGTAAGCAGATGCCAACAGGCTGCACAGACCTGGGAGGAGGAGGGGGGGGGGGGGTCATTCCCAGCCAACTGTTCAGCCGTTCACACTATGTTTCGCCTGTTTACTGATGTAAACTACTTACTGTATAGTTGATTAGAGTTGCTGGGACTGGAAAATCGGCTTGGATAGTTGTGTGTATTTTTTCTTTCTTTTCATATTACACGCAAAATATACACACACACACGTGTACTTGTACTTGTTGCTCACTGCCAAAACTGGTCACGTGGGTCTCCCCGTGAGAGGGGAGAGAGAGAGACTCAAAAGGAATCTTGGAAAGATGACTCAATTGGCCATTGAACCACCCAACGGCCGACACCCTGAAATCCCCAAACTAGGGTGGACTTGAAATGATCCCACTTATGGGCTCACCACGCCTCAGTAAGTCGGTGAGGACAAGGTGCAGAAAAAAGATTGACGGCATCAGGGTATCCGTCCCGGGATCCAACTGCAGGTACCCCCGCCCCCAGTGAAGGTAATACTTGGTACAAGTGTGGGTGGCTAAATCAGAGTGGATCTGATATAAGCTTCGCTAGCACCATTGATTACACAAGAGTTAATCTAGCCAGAAGCAGTCCATGGTTAACAGGTATTTATACACACACGCACGCACGCACGCACGCACGCACGCACGCACGCACGCACGCACCCCCCCCCCCCACACACACACACTCACACACACACACACACACACACACACACACACACACACACACACACACACACACACACACACACACACACACACACACTCACACACACACTTATACCCCCCCCCCCCACACACACACACATACATATACACAGACACCTACATGCACACGTTTCTCACGCTCACCTGAGAAACAATGATTGGATACTCGGTTTTATCCACACCATCAGCGGTTGCATCCGCGTTGGTGTCCAGTGGCCCCACTTTTGGTGTACTGATGCCTAGCTTTGTACCCGGGGGAGGTTCAATATCAAACGACTTCATTGCAAAGAGGCTCTCGCTTAGGCTGCTCCTGGATTCCGGTATTACAACGCCACCATTCTCTATCTTCTCATTGCTGCAGGGCAACAGAGGAGGAAAAAGAACGGGAGCGGGAATGGTGAGAGAGGGCGAGACATACGAGAGAGAGAGAGAGAGAGAGGGAGAGAGAGAGAGATAGAGATAGAGAGAGAGAGAGATAGAGAGAGAGAGAGAGAGAGAGAGAGAGAGAGAGAGAGAGAGAGAGATATAGATAGATAGATAGATAGATAGAGAGAGAGAGAGAGAGAGAGAGAGAGAGAGAGAGAGAGAGAGAGAGAGAGAGAGAGAGAGAGAGAGAGAGAGAGAGAGAGAGAGAGAGAGAGAAAGAGAGAGAGAGAGAGAGATGCACACACATACACATAGAGAGAGAGAGGCGAGAAAGAGAGGGGGAGGGGTAGTGGCGGGGTGAGTCACATGCACCCAGAGAGAAAGACAGCCGGACACACGGACAGACAGGTCATATGGACAGACAGGGCACACGGACAGACGGACACATGAACAGACGAACATACGAACGCACGGACAGACGGACACATGGACAGACAGGTCAAGCAGCTGTAAAGAGCCAAACCACACAACAGGAGCAAAATTTGGACATGCAGAAACATTTCCTGGTAAACACTAAACAGTCAGTGTTTTTGTTTTTACAAATATCTCGCAATTCCTAGAGTGCATCTCGAAATTCCTAGAGTGCATCTCTAAAAAAGAGCGAAACATTTTGGCCCATTTTCTCATATCGGCCCATATTGAACAAAAGAACCCAAAAAGTCCCCCGGATATCCAATTTTCGGGGCCCCATTAATCCGCGATATTGATTGCGACCAGCTACTTTATTTCGGCCATTCCATCTCTACCTGGTAGACAGAATACACTGCACAGTTCACTTCGAAAAACTTCACTCTACCATATTTTCCGGGTTTCATTAAGCCGCACTGGAGTATAAACTGCACCCAGACGTTTGTCACGAAGTACAGTCAGACCTCGCTTAACCGCACACATCCGTTTTCCACAAAAAAAAAGTCCGGATAGGCGAGGGAACCGGATAATCGAACACTGATTATGTTGGATGCATCATGTATGCTGTAAATCTGTAACCAGCTATTTTCTTCCGGTTTGCGAGGGATTGGGATAAAAGAGGACCGGATAAGCGATGTCTGACTGTACAGGTATGTACCCTGTGTTCAACAGTTCATCTGACCAGTGTAGTAAAATCCTTATGGGGGCAACGACTTTTTTGGAACGAAATGTGAGCGCTTGAAGCACGGCTTATAGGCTTTTCATACCACGTTACAGTACGCGCCACGTTTCGGAATACGACGTACTGGCACACGTCGTCTTCATGCAGGTCCATTCACACAGGCACGTGTACGCTTTTCGTACAGGCGTGCGCACAGCTTCTTTTGGACACAAACTGCCAGGAACGACGGAAGGCACCTCGGTACAGGGTCTGGATACGTCGTCTACGTTTTCGTATCAGGGGTGCGATTTTCCCGCCGCGTTCCATGTTGTCATGGCTATCCGGACGAAAACGTCATGTACGCCACATGATGGGTGTAGTGTGAATGGCCCACTAGAGAGGTTAAGATGTACGTTATTTCCGACGTGACGCGCAATTTCACGTCAAATTTGGCGTAAAACTCCAAATTTCGACGTGAGCAGCAGGTCACTCGCGTTGATTTTTCGACGTGCGAGCAAATAACGCGAGCTGAACTTTCGCGTCACGTCAGAAATAACGTGCATCTTAACCTCTCTATTATATTCCGAAAATACCGTACTTGAAGTGAAGGTAGACCTACGTTGTACTGCTGGCATATGGCTTGACACATGCTGCTTGGATATCCTGATTCCCGTGCTGCCACCGCGCTCGTCGTCGTCGTCGTCGCCGACGACAATACACACAGCAAACCGTGAGCAGCGTTATTGCCAGCAGTGCGACGGCGGCCATGAGGCCAAACGCCACGTACATCCACAGGCCATTGTCGGAACTTGCCATGGTAACCGCGATGCAGGGCACGCAGGCTTCTTCAGAGTATCAGATATTACCGGTCAGCAAGTAGCCTAGTGAGGCGATGAGTGCATTCGGAGTGGACGTTGAAGAACGCTTTGTCCAATGTGAACGCACGGATTGCACCCTGGAGTTGTCTGCGTGGCTGAGCATTCTGCACAGGGGAGCAGCGGTGAAGACACATGGGCAAAGTTTAAAAAACACAAAACGGTTACAGAATGTCCAAACAATGCTAGTCGCATAGCCGGCCGAAAAATATACGCTCCGAGTGCAGATACCGAAAATATACGGAGAGCTATGAAATAACTTGATTTAGGCAACTGCTCAAGGGACATAATTATATACACGGACACATGTTCGCCATTTACCAAATACAGTCGGACCTCGTTTATCCGGTCCTCTTGTATCTGGATCCCTCGCCATCCGGAAGAAAATAGCTGGCTGCAGATTTACAGCATACGTGATGCATCCAACATAACCGGTGTTCGGTTATCCAGTTCCCTCACATATCCGGATTTTTGTGGAATACGGATGTGTGCGGTTAAGCGAGGTCTGACTGTACAAGTATCGTAGAATCCCGCGTATAAGCCCAGGGTTTGTTCAAACATCACACAGCTTTATCGTACAAGCCCATGGGCCTAGGTCATACCGAGAGTCCATAAATTATGGACTCTTGGCCATACCATGTACATGTACGTAGTCATGCACATTATAGTTTTGTTCGTACATTTCCGCACAATCATCGGTTGTTTTTGTTTGCACAGTGGTTTTCAGCAATGTACTTCACACTTCCTTGATACTTTTCAATAGCACAACTTGGTGTCGGCGTAAAAAGCCCATGCTCGCGTATAAGCCCACCGAAATGTCCTTGTGAAACAGATAAGCCCATGGGCTTATCCGCGGGATTCTACGGTATTTGGTTTCCGTCGCTTCAATGCTGGGAAAAGTTGCGCAGGAAAAGGCTACCGGGCGGGACCAGAGGAAACATCATGTCATGCTAGCCATGAAACTAAGGAAACATGTTCGAATATGTACCCTTTTACGACCGTCTGAATACACCCTAGCTATTAGGGCTCAAACTGTTAGTCCGATTAACCGCTTGCAGACCGGTTACGAAGAATTAACAGTTATCCGATAAAGATAACGGTTACGCAGTAACTTTTCAGGCAATTTTTCAAGTATCAGGTCGTTTCAAAGTATGCACTTTCGCAGGCTGTCGCACGCGTACGCAATTTATGGGCTGTCAACTCGGTCATATCTGGTCTCTTGGTGAGAGAGTATGTATGAATGAGCATGCAAGAGAATGTACATGTGTGCTTTGTACTGAATAGGGTACATTTTTTTGAATGAGTATAGTCGAATATACGGTTAAAAAAGAGTCCGCAGGATTGCCGTGGCTTATAGATTATAACCGTAAAACCGACCGTTAGCTGAGCAGTTAACCGTTAGGGGTAAAACCGTGACCGTTCGAGCCTTACTAGCTATGCCAGTACAATCCCTGTCCACATCACCTTCAATCAATGAAAAATAGCCATGATACTCTCTACATTAGTACAAGTACTTGTGGGCCAGACTGAGTAATGTGCGTGCGTGTGTGTGTGTGTGGAGGGGGTACATGTGTGTACGTGTGTGTATGTATGTATGTGTGTGTGTGGGGGGGGGGTGCGTGCATACGTGCGTGCGTGCGTGGGGGGGGGGGGGAGAGAGAGAGAGAGAGAGAGAGAGAGAGAGAGAGAGAGAGAGAGAGAGAGAGAGAGAGAGAGAGAGAGAGAGAGAGAGAGAGAGAGAGAGAGAGAGGAAGAGGAAAACACTTTGACTACTCCCAAACCAGCCTTACCAAAGACTTAGTCGTAAATTTAAGATGACAACTGTTCCCCGCTAAAGAAGCAGGGTGGCCTCCAAACACCTTTGTACCGGCAATACATCTGCCAGCAACTACGCTAGCCATAAAATAATTTCCGGTGCAGAACATACCGTAGAATCCCGTGGATAAGCCCACCCGCGTATAAGCCCATGCTCGCGCATAAGCCCAGGGTTAGTTCCAGCGTCACAAAGTTTCATCGTACAACTACAAGCCCATGGGCCTAGGTCAAACCAAGAGTCCATAAATTATGGACTCTTGGTCATACCATGTACGTAGTACAGCCATGTAGTTTTTTTTGTACATTTCAACACAATCATCGGTTGTTTTCGTTTGCACAGTGGTTTTCAGCAATGCACTTCTCACTTCCTTTGTGCACACTTGTGGTGTCGGCGTATTAGCCCATGTTCTTGTATAAGCCCACCGAAATGTCCTTGTGAAACAGATACGCCCATGGGCTTATCCGCGGGATTTTACGGTGGTATTTCCGGTGTTCAACGCGACAGAACCCGTTTTCAGGACATCAATTATTTCCTCACACGAGTGCCTTCTATGCACTAATGCAGTTCCCAGCCCAGGCCACTTACCGGGTATATGGGAAGGGTTTTCTCTGCCGCTTGAAGTTGAAGGGTGGAGAGCGGCCGGAAGGGGTCTGATGTCTCTTGACCCAAGCCCAAGCCTAGGCCAAGTACTCCGTACTCAACAGCGGACTCGCTCGAGCTGTCCACTTGCACCCTATCGACGCCCACGGCCTAGCCTCTCCGACGGCCTGACCAGCCGCGCACGCTAGGACCGGGAACGTAAAAAAAACGTAAAAAAAAAGTCGTTACCAAAAGTGTTCCCCACGCCGACAGGGTGGATCTAGCTCTAGAGCTCTATCATCATGCGGCAATAGCAACGCGAGATGTCGTCTTCAACGCTCCGCTCTGCCTTCCTCAAGTACAATAAGTCATGTAGTTCCTGTGCCAGAACTGAAACGAGAGTGGAGCGACGTAACACCTGTGCTGACTGCTGTAGTCTGTGTACTAGTAGATGGCAAGAGCATGCTCGTGCATGCTGAGCATGTACTAGTAGTAGACCTATGACACTGACAGACTAGACGAGTCGCTGCATTCCCCATTCGTGTATGTGCCGCACTCGCTCAGCTAGCTGCTCAGCGTTGTGATGTATGGAATCAAGCAAGAGTACGAGTGTGAGATCGCCTAATCACAGCCCGCCGCGCGAAGCGCGAAGGGCTGTGATGCAGGCTGATCGAACACGAGTACGAGTGTTTTGATTGCATTTCTGACATGCACCCACGCTTGAAACTTATATCGAACTTGTAAATATTTCGCGAAGAGTTGTGATTGGCTGATAGAACATGAGCACGACTGTTTTGATTGGATTTCTGACATGAACACGCACTTCGAGCTTCCTATCGCGCTTGAAAGCACGATTCTCAACCTTCTCGAGCACGAGTCGAGTAAAAAAAAAGCGAGCTTGATCAGTAAATCAAAGCCCTAGTGGAGCGGGCTTTGATCGTAAAATCAAAGCCCGCCTGGGCGGGCTTTGATGGGAAAATCAAAGCCCGCTCCACTAAATATGGAGTTCTACTTCTTGTAGCATGCTTTGATCGCCTCATCTTGGCCCTGCTAGGTGCAATGCGATTGGTCATCCCCGTGCCTACAGTCTTGTGACATGTCAGAAATGACTTGTCCGACACCTCGCTTTGTCGAGAGCCAGAGTCTTGAGTGTCGAGAAGACTCTTGTCGTATTGAGTCTTGTTGACTGTCTATCATGACCCATGCATGATGTGCATGATGTGCAGTAGATCTACGTACATGTAGATCTAAGCTTGGATGTGAACTGGTAGAGGGGACGGTTTCAAATAGGACACCGGTTGCAAACCGGAACGGACTCAATATTCACTTTCTCTCTTGGTATTTTGATTAGAAAACATAATGTCACAGTGAGACTACGATGTGTTATACTCCGAGCCAAAATTTCATGGCTCTGCGATGACCAGAAGCGCCATATCAAGCAGGTGAGTTTTTGACGTGTTGCTTCGCACTGCGACTTGAGTTTTACGACTTTCGAAAAATCAATTTCTTGTCGCAGGTAAACAGCGGCTCGCCTCTCGCCAATAAAGCACCGCATACCAATCAAAACTAATGGAAGCACACACAAGGCTTATTGTTACTCTGTACTGGCCGTCGTGGAGCGATAGCAATTACCTAATTTCAGACCCAGAGTGAATTTGACGGGCACTCTAAAACGTGTCCGGTTTGGAGCCACCTCTGATTTGAACTTTTTTGAAGCGAAAAATTGGGCAACTTGGAGGCAATGGGTCAACACAAAGGAGTGGCTCAGTTCGATTGACTCTGGCCCCAGAGCAAACTTCAACATGCCACTTTCCTTCCACAAACATATTTCGAGTGAAAAATCAACGCTGATGATCGGTTTGGGTCTATACAAATTTGGCTGTCAAAACGTCCCGGTATCGAGCCGTCTCCTCTACATGGTGCCGTGCACCCGTGCTATGCGTGCGGGGCGCAAGCTGCTTGATGATGATGATGATGATGATGATGATGTTTTCTTATTAGAGAGGTTCTGCACAACGAAAGTTCGAACGAAGTTTCGCGACAGGCCTTGCGAAAATGTGTACGAATTTTCGCACGAACTTTGTGTTCTGCACATTTTCGTAGTTTGCACACGCCAAGTGCACGTACGACATGACCCAATCTCACGAAACTTCCTACGAAAGTTCATTTCGCGTTCCCTGCAAGTTTCGCGTCCAAAGTTGCGAAAGTTCGTGCGAAGTTTCTCACTTCGTGACGTAGAGCGAAAGTTCGTACACATGTTCGTTTTGCAGAACCTCTCTATTGTCTTGTAAGTTGTATTGGAATTTGCCCATAAAAGTGGCTACGGTGTGATAATGCATTTTTATTCCCGTAGCTATGCAGAAGACGTTACTTCAGTAACGTCTGGCGCTAGCCAGGGTCCACACAGCTTTAATTTGGTGTTTGTTTGTTTGTTTGTTTGTTTGTTTGTGTCACGGCTGGAGCTATCCCGTATCTGTCCCGTATCTGTCCCGTATCTGTGACTACAAAGGCTCTACAGGATTGTACATAACAGCTGTCCACAATATTTGCGGACCCCTGTATCTGTCCCGTACCGTACCAATATTCGTCGTATTATGTATACGACTCCCTGATGTAGAGGGAAATTTGGAAAGAAATAAGGAGACGAGGAGGAAATTAAATTAGAATAGACGCCGAATAGGTGATAGGATGCGTCAGCATAAACATACTTTGGAAGAGAGATCCCGTCGTCTCCAAACAAAGCGTGAACGAGCGATTCAGCGCCGGTCACAGGAAACGTCGGAAGAGAGATCCCATCGACTCCAGAACCCCCGTGATCGGCAGAGTCCGCCGGTCCCAGGCAACGTCAGGACAGACATCCCGTTGAGTCCAGAACGGTCGTGATCGGCAGAGTCTAAGCCGGTCCCAGGAAACGTCAGGACAGACGTCCCGTCGAGTCCAGAACGCCCGTGATCGGCAGAGTCAGCGCCGGTCCCAGTAAACGTCAGGACAGACATCCCGTCGACGCGCAGAAAAACTAAATCTGCAGCCTATTTTGCCGTCGGACAGGATACGTATTTTAGGAGACTGTAAAGTTATGTAATGTCCAAATTTCGACGTGAGCAGCAGGTCACTCGCGTTGATTTTTCGACGTGCGAGCCAAATAACGCGAGCTGAACTTTCGCGTCGCAGACATCCCGTCGACGCGCAGAAAAACTAAATCTGCAGCCTCTTTTGCCGTCGGACAGGATAAGTATTTTAGGAGACTGTAAAGTTATGTAATGTGCTCCACAGGCAACCATGCATTCGGCGTCGTCATTGGCTCAACAGGTCAATGTACATGTACATGTATTACTACAAAAAGGCCAGAAAATCCGATTACTGTATTAAAATCAACTAATTTTCGCTGGCGATATAATTTCGCTGATTTCGCCGCTTGGTACCAACCGGCCAAAGTAAATCGCAGGCCAAAGTTTGTCATATAGGCAAATGATGCATGATTGAGCAATGGATGCATGTGAGAGCAAAAATACCGATCGATTTCAAATTTGACGTGAAATTGCGCGTCACGTCGGAAATAACGTGCATCTTTTAAAACCCCTCTAATAGAGAGGTTTCTATTTCTCATCGGCCAAAATTTGTTGATTTACAGTATAAGGAGATAAAAAGAAAAGAAGGAGCAAACCAAAAGTAGATGATTATTAGAGAAATAACAATCCGCGATAAATTCTGCAAATACTTTTGCCTAACTCATAATATTCAAACCGATTGAAACGTTTTTGCAATACAGTGATGTGGCCAATCAACGGAAAAAGACATTTCCATCGGTTCTTATAACATGTACGATGAGCTAGGCAAAAAAGCATAAAAGCATAGCGTAGGGCCCTGAGCTTCCAAGCTCTCTCGTATTTCGTGTTTTAACATTATTTTCAGAAAATTGCTCTTACAATACCTTGCGTTTTATATTCTAAATATTGTTGCCCGTAAAAGCGGCTTGGTCACATGATGACGATGATGATGACGATGATGATGATGGTTGTGTTAAATCGCAAATCCAAACGGGAAGGAAAGGTGGTTCTTGACCAGGGATTTGTACGACTCCTTGTTCTTGACCTGCCCGGTACGCGAACCCGTCGATTTTTTTTAAACGGGAGTTTCTTCCTCAACAACGTCAAGATACATGTAGCTAAGGGATGAGGAGGTATAGTACAGTAGTAATACATGTACAATACTAAAGAGGGCTTGATTCACCGGATCGGAGTAATTTATTGTATGTTTCCACTGAAAATACAACCTAGTGAATTCATGAAGCTGCTTTTCACTTGTTTTATTTGCCGGCAAATCAGCAACAGCTCCGACCTTCCCAGACACTTGACTACTACGCACTGGCACTAGTCCAGACTCAATGCCTTGATGCTTGACTCCTAGTCCTACCAGTCGGGGTAGTACAGTGGTCCCTCTATAATCCGGCACCATTTGTGCCACGAAAATCTGCTGGATTAGGGAGGGTGCTGGATTAACAAATCTGATTTACTGCTGCAATGTGCATGAAGAGGACATTTTGGCTACTGAAAATTGTGCTGGTTTATCGAGGGTGCTGGATTATAAAGTGCCGGATTAGAGAGGGACGACTGTACTACATGTAGTACTGATACTAGTATAATGGTCTCTGCCAACAGGGTTTAACGAGAGAGCTTGGAAGCTCAGGGCCCTACGCTATGTTTTTTTGCCTTGATGACCTAGACAAAAAAAAGCATAGGGATGTTATAAATTCTTTAAAAAATCCTTTTTTTAAAGAAATAACCTGGGATTCGAACCCGCACTATCGCGCGCCCTGCATGCATCCCCCGATACACTTTGCATACATACTAATTCTTCCAAGTTGTTTCACATTGTGATCTTGCATTTGAATGCCCTATTTGAATATGCATTGTGGCCAGCCGTCTTTGATGGCACGGTACGGTAGGGGATAGGAACGGGACAGGTACGATCGAGGGTAATACGACACCGTCTCCCGTACCGTACCATCAAACACAGCTGGTCACATACAGCCGCCCGCAATATTCAAATAGGGCTTTCAAACGCAAGATAATAACGTGAAGCAACTTGGAAGAATGGGTATGAATGCGAAGTGTATGGGGGAATGCATGTAGGGCGATAGTGCGGGTTCGAATCCCAGGATATGCCAGAAAAAATAGGAGAATTCAAAAATTTATAACATTCTATGCTTTTTTGCCGCCAGATACGGATAGCGCCAGGCGTGACACAAACAAACACACAAACAAACACCAAATTAAAGCTGTGTGGACCCTGGCTAGCGCCAGACGTTACTGAAGTAACGTCTTCTGCATAGCTACGGGAATAATTATGGTTGTAGTCAGGAGCACTACGCGTCCTCGCCTTGTAACATGCTGTCAAAAACGAAAAACATAGTAATACAACTACATGTATGTAAATAGGCGTCGAGGCGACAATAGTTTTAGAATTGCGATCAACAGAACGAGCTGAACCGACATTTCACAAAGGCTTTTATTGTATTCAAAACATTGCTGCAAGGTTTATTCTGATTCTTCTTTTTCTGTTTTGTGCCGTGCTCGTCATGGTTATAAGTTGCAGTTGAGTGTGTTAGAAGCTGTTTGTCAACGTATTCATAAGCCTAATCTGTGTGTCCAGAAGGACAGCATTATTCGTTTAAAACTGTTTTAGTAGCAGCTTGTTCTGTCTGTTTGGCCCTGGTTGGCCATGGTGTCATATCTTGTGTCACAGTATACTAGTAGTCCTTACAAGTTCGTCAAGTGCTTTCGCAGTTTTTCCTGTTATTACCTTAGTGCTAGGATTATCATTTTCATAGGTGTTTCTTCTCACTCCATTTCTCTTTATTAGTATCTTTCTGGATTGTTTTTCATTAGTGCTTACTGCTGCTTTATTGTTCCAAGTATCAGTTTCGTTTAGTTTAAATATCTCTTATTATTATTATTTTTTCTCACCCCACACCCCTCTACTCTGTTATCGGCCCTCTTAAGAGTTGTGTTCATCACTGTTGAGGCTTCCGATGGAAAATAAAAGAATACTACTACTACTACTACTACTAGTACAACGTAGCGTCCTGAGGAGTGTTGTGCGAAAACTAGTTCGAAGCAAGATTTTTGTTCATCATTTCTTCCACATCACATTTTTTCTTTCTTCCATGTTCCTCACTGCCTTCGTATCCACTCGTGTTTTGAATACACGCATCGATCCAATGGGATCGATGGGGTAGGCATTTTGAAATTATCGTAACTTGCTCAAATCTAGGTCTTTTGGAGAGATCGAAATATGTAGGTCGAAGAGAACAGTCTCAGCTGTCGCCTCGAACAATTCCCGAAGCAATACGAAGAGCGGTTGCTGAGTTATCGCACTCGTAATTCTGGTCCCGGGAAATGTGCGTTCAGAGCGCGACGCACATGTCGACGGCTGGGATTTTCCCTGTTTACGTCACCTGTTGGCAAGGCTACACCGATTCAAATTCAAAAGTAGGTTCCCGGGAGTCTCTACGAAAATATTTGAGCTCGGTACGAGCAACAGGGGTGACATGGTGGATTGAGATCGATCTCGAGCGTGAGCTCAGCGCTTTTGCGCGTTCCCTGGCTTTCAGCGCTGGACCAGTGCATCCTGTGGCGTCGAGTGTGGGCTCATTGCGTTCGTCTCGTCAAGACCTTTCCAGGATGCCCAAGATCGTGGAAATCGTCAAATTCAAACCAAAGTTACGTCTAATTTTAGTTTCAGATTTTGTGGTTGCGTGGGCTTGTATACATTTTAATCGGACAGTAAAGGGTTAAAATTAAAAATTTATGGTCCCGCTACGTACATGTAGTTACTGTAGTCCTGTCCTAGCGCCTGGCCGGCTGGCAGTTCAGATTTCGCATCTGGCCTATTCTGGGACAGGATTCTCACGCTTATGCTGCGTTCAACCTACAGACAGTCCATTCACTATAATAAAGTGTGCACTGTTATTACATGTACATGCTCCCATTATACGACTACACGTACAAATACAAGGCAATTGTTATCAAGAGTGCATAAACATGTTTATCGACTCTTGTTATTATTAATAGTCCTTGTAATGTCAGACTTGTACATGTACAGGGTCTGCTACATGTGCACTACATGTACATGTACATACCGACTACAGTACTGACTGAGTGTCTGGTTAAAGGGGAAGTTAAGGCAAAAATTAAAATTTCACCAGTTGTAGTCTTCGGGGTGCTGAGTCGAATGGTCTTGGTCCGAGAAAGCTGAGACGCTCCCTTCCTACTTGAATCCCAATCGAACTCGCGCACTTCCACCGAAACTGGGTGACTGCGCCCTACTAGATGGGGATTTGTATGCAAAATGTCACTAAAAGCGCCGTTTCGTTCTTATAAAAGCACGGATGACCGCGATTGGCCCATATGTTGTAGTCTTTTGGACGCTGAGTCGACTGGTTTTGGTCCGAAAAGGCTGCGATGCAGCGTTCCTCCTTTATTCCCAATCGAACATGGTTGAACAAGCGGTCACGTGCTCCTGCGTACGCCAGTCAGCTGGTCACCGTGCCTGCAGGGTACAACTTACTAGCCTGTTTGACCTTTTTTGGGTGCACTCCTGTCACTCGAGTTGAACTCGAGTTGAGCCTTGGTGTGAAAGTTGTCGCCTGCTGGCGTAGTGACCAGGTGATTTGGGCACCCAGGAGCACGTGACCGCTTGTTCCGCCATGTTCGATTGGGAATAAAGGAGGAACGCTGCATCGCAGCCTTTTCGGACCAAAACCAGTCGACTCAGCGTCCAAAAGACTACAACATATGGGCCAATCGCGGTCATCCGTGCTTTTATAAGAACGAAACGGCGCTTTTAGTGACATTTTGCATACAAATCCCCATCTACATGTAGTAGGGCGCAGTCACCCAGTTTCGGTGGAAGTGCGCGAGTTCGATTGGGATTCAAGTAGGAAGGGAGCATCTCAGCTTTCTCGGACCAAGACTATTCGACTCAGCACCCCGAAGACTACAAGTGGTGAAATTTTAATTTTTGCCTTAACTTCCCCTTTAATACAACTTTTTACAAGATGTACAGTACAGTGTACTACATGTACTTGCACATGTAGTACACTTTACATGTAGTTGAATGTTTTTGAGATCTAGAATCATTTTGTACAAGGTCGACTCCATTTTTTTTATTATACCAAACTGTACATACCGCTGAAATAGCGCTATTATAATCACACAAAATACAACTACTACTAGTACATCATGTACATGTAGCTAGAACTGAGTGTGTTGTCCGAGTTTCAAAGCAGCAGGGGGAAAAGGGGAAGTCCGAAGAAAGATGAAAATGTCAAGGTCCCAAGTGTTTGGGGAGCGGAGTTGAATGGTGGTGGACCAGAGGACGTGAAAAGTTCAACGTGTTTAATACAATGTACATGTACTTGACAGAGAAGATAATTATTGGGTATACATTTATCTGATGAGCCATGGAACACAGCCTCCTCCGACACAGACCATTCGCCTCCGCGCCTCAAACGTTACCCACCCTGCTGTCTATTGTCCAAAAAGAGTCCCGTTGGCTTTTGAAAGCCCGATTTTGGCCGAATTGAGTGTGCGGCGAAATCCCACTTTAAACCTGAATCTGGGTGCTTCTTCATGCATTAATTTTTACAATGGTATACACAATGTCATGTACATGTACCGCCTACCGGTCCTAATGATATTGTAAAACCTGGCTGAATTTCTAATCACCTGTCTTCAGGCTTGTTTCGACCTAAAATGCGGCAAGAAAATTGCACTTGGCACACAAAGCAGGATGACGTCATGCTGTTTTTCACCATGTCCATGGGATGACGTAATGCTGTTTTCACCATGTCCATGGGATGACGTAATGCTGTTTTTCACCCTGTCCATGCCATGTGTATAACCCCTACCAACCGGACTGGTTTCCCGGCGGCCTGCATCTGGTCAGATGAAGCACCTACGGCTATCGAAACAAAACTAGAGCCATCGAGCACAAACCGGGGCAAGCCAAGTTAATTCTTTAAATTGCATTCAGAAAAGTCAGAAGAGGGACGAGAGAACAATGCCACATGCTACGATATCCTAAAGAAGGATTAATAGACGCTATTTGCAACACAATATTCAGACGTCAGGCGGAATGAGAAAGGAAAAAAAGGCTTGGGGCTAAAATAATAGCAACGCATTGAAATTTATTATGCATGTACATGCAGATCACACGGAAGAACGTGCACAGATCAGTACACTGTCAAGGGGTAAGGCTGTCCAGTACAAATCATGATCGGAGAAAACTTAGAAACGGAGCGGCCTGATTCCGCGACCGTGCTGTCACCCCGTCGGTGGTCACAACGCATACCAGCAGCCGCGAGCAAAGGTTACCCCGCGACAGAGCTACCATTCTCGTTCCTCCTTTCACATGCTGTCTCTGACCCGAATGCCCGAGGTCGGCACGAGTGCAAGATGACAGGGCCTGCATGGAAACGATGCCGAAACAACAACAGAACATCGTAACCAAGAGTATATAACCTGCATGTATATTATATTCTTGAAGTAACTATAGGGGATTCACACATACGCACGCACGCACACCCCCCCCCCCCCCCACACACACACCATTTATGCGGACCATCCAGGGTTTCCCGGGACAGTCCAGGGAATAGGGTGTTTGTCCCCGGGGTCCAGGGATGTCGTGCGAAAGTCCAGGCATTGAGATGGTACTTTTGAAATCGAAGTTCTCCTTTTTATGACGCTTTTGCGGTCATCCTCGAACTTGTAGATCCGTTGTAAGTGCACACAGCACGTAGTAGATAAAAAAAAAACAGGTGTGGAACTGCAACGGATCGCCGGTATAACGGTAGTCAACTGAAAATTTACTTGTTCAGTGGCCATGGTTACAGCTTGATGCAATGACATCCCTTTTGCTTCAGAGCAGCAGTCATGAAAAATGCGTCTGCTAAGGGGCCGTCCATAATTATCGATCTTTTACACGAAGAGAAAAAGTTTTGTATATGGGTGGGTGGGTCAAGGGGAGTTTCGTTTTGAAAAATATTGATATGAGAGACATCCCTGCATTCTTGCTATCAAGTCAATCTATATTTCGTTCAGGGGGGTGGGTGGGTGGGGGAGGGTCCTAACTAAACTTTTTCGTTTCGTGAAAATTATCGATAATGCCGGATAGCCCCTAATGATGGATGCGCTAAAAAATTGGTGTCCAGGGAAAACGGTCAAAATCAAGGTAATCATCAGCCTCGCACGCACACACACACACACGCACGCACATACACACACACACACACACACACACACACACACACACACACACACACACAGGTAAACCATGGTTTTTGGGAAAGTTATGGAAGCCATGGAACGGGGGGGGGGGGGGGAATCTCTCAGGAAAATTTGGCAAAGCCGTGGCAGTGGGTCTCAGGGCGTTTGTCAAGGGGAAAAGTCCACAGCTACTAGTATACGACGCACAGAATAGATCCTTGTCTTTGGCAAGAACTCTGAACCCTAGTTGTATGAGTGCATTGCAGCCCGCATTTTTATATATTTTTTAGACAGTTCGCCCACATTGCAGACAATGCGCCCAGGCAGACAAAGCGTTCAGAAGGAAGACATCGTAGCCTCGCTTTCGATTTTTTTGCTGAAGAGCCTGTTGGTGCAAAGAGTGTTTCCAGTGTTTCATTGCAATCATGCCAAGCAAATCGTTTGACGACAAAGCCAAACCCTACCTCCTTGGGATATGGTCGAATCTCCTTATTTCGAATATTCTTATTTCGGCCGACAAGGCAAGATTCTGCAGGCGCTACGCAGAGCGCAATCGCCTCCATGGCGGCCGAAAACGTCTGCCTGAAAGTGCCTGGCAGATAAACTACGAAGGCGAGGACGACTAATTATAGTTAAGTCACCAAGAAGAAAGCACTTTCAAAGCGACAGCGCAAGAAGTCTTTTCGCTTAGATCACGGTGACAAAAACGATATCGGTTAGGTTTTTTTTCGCAAACATTGGCATTTTGGCAAAATCGCTGGAACTTGCTGCCGATGCCTCATTAGAATAATTAGACTCAAATATGAATTGACATGCGGGAATGAATGGATAAAATGGTGCTGTTGTGTCTGGGACTGGCGTTATGACAACCCTAGGAGAATCAGAAACCTATATTTAAGGTGGCAGCCTGGTCGTAAAATCCCTGAAAAATCTAATTTGTAAATTCATATTGATGGCTACGTCAGTTGAAAGAGCATGAATAGCTGCAAAGTCTCTGAAAATGTTGTCTCGATCTGACCCGCCGTTCAAGAGTTATGGCCGAAAATGTGCCCTTGCAAGGAAAGATTTTTTTGTTGCAAGCTGTCATTTGTTGGCAGCACTATGGCAAGTTTGAGTCGTGTCAAGAAGTCAGGTAGGATTCAGTACTAGGCAGTAGTGGAACGTGAGTGGTAGTCTTTGCCGATTTTGGAGGGTATCCCGGATTCGGTTTGAAGCGCTGTGGAAACGGCTTGCTGTGGAGGTCCCAGAACTGGATGTTGTATCAAAGGTACGACCTCGTAGCACGCCCTGAACCTAAAAAATATTCAAAAATCGACTTGGGTCTGTGTGAGTGTGTGAGAGAACGCCCACTCCTGCCGTTGTGACAGATTCCAGGGCCGCGTTGAAGGGCCCTATCCCACCACCCATGGCTGCTTCTGGACTTTTCATCCTCGGATTTGGTAAAATGATCCCAAACAACAGAACGGGGAGCACGACTGAAAACAGTTTCTGACATGGGAACAGTGCGAACTCGAAACAGAAGAAAATTACGAAGTGGTCAAAGGAAGAGCGAGCAGCCAAAATATGTAAGTACATGTACGAGTACTCATGCTTTGTTCTGATGTTCGTCTATATGTCGTCGCCTCGACTCCAGCCAAGTGCCAGTTTAGATCGTGAACCGCGCGCGCGCGCGCGGGTCGTGTACCACCTGGCGCAGCGCTGGTCACAAGCACGCAGCTACACCTATTCTACAGGCGGTGTGTGAAACGATCGTGACTGATCGCGATGTTTTTACGGGTTTATCGTACCGTACGCACATTCTCAAAGTTCGAATGTTCGTGAGAACTACGAATGTTCGTTCGCTGTGGCCTAACGAACGAATATTCGAATGTTCGGTATATTCGTTTCACCCCTACTGTTCACCTAACCTGGCCTTTTGCCCTCATACCGAAAATATTGAGCACCTTAAAGTTTCTGAAATTAGAGTACCTCAACTCGAACTTTCCGAATACGGTCTATTCGCTGCACACGTCACTTCAAAATAAATAAATAATTGAATTCACCAACTTTTCGGGCATTGCCCATCTTCAGGGTGAAACAGTCGACGAAAACATTCAATCATTAATTTATTTAGACGCGACGTGTGCAGCGGAGAACCGTATTTGGAAAGTTCGAGTTGAGGTACTCTAGTCCAAATGTGTAAGAGCAGCTTGCACATTCTTAAGCCGTTCACAGCCCAACTCACCTAGACTCGGCGGGTTTCACAGATGGTCAGAGGTAGCTTATCGTCTTGAGGATGTACCTTCAAATCAGTGCCGTAGAAAGCACGAGCGTGACCATGTGACCACCCTACCCAGGCGGTCTTCACATAGATATGAATCACGTGATGATCTTTGCCCTGTTTTAGGTATTGTGCTTTCAACACCAGTGTCTCAGCGTGTGCCAGCCCTTTTGCAAAATTTCTCATACATTTAACGTGATTCGGTCCCGGTATGGCGTAGCCGAGTTGTTGGCACGCCGTCGTCGCCTCGTTGAACGAGCGAGACATTTTGTCATGTATGGCACGCAGGACTATGCCACCTCCACAATCCTGCGCCGCTGTACACGGTGAGAAACACACACACACACACACACACAAACACACACACACATACACACACACACACACACACGTCAGATTTAAGACGGGTTTGTAGTGTCCAGAACACAACCGACTTCTACACCACTACTGCCGCCTAATTATAATAATTATGAGGTAGGCGAACAGAACAGAACAGCAAGGACAATCAAGGCTTGTCTTCTGCTACTTCAAGTTTCATGAGGTAGGCGAACAAAATTTATATACACAACAAGAATGGACTCGGATGGAGAACCAAGGACAAATTTATAGAATGTAGAAAGGACCAAGGAACTACAAGTTACGCTATAATGTCCACTAACACCATCAGTTACTTAAAACAATCAGCTCGTGCGATAACATTGCACGACACTGACCCACGGTACTGACGTTCTACAACTAACTGGCTAACAGCTCTAGCACATCTTGGATGCACACTCCAACAGCCTTTCAACTTGGAAGGTTTTAACTTATAGAAATAACATAAGAGGGGAAGAACTTAGAAGTTGCGACTTCGGGGGTAATAGTCATGAAGTTGATTGCTGCAATGAGGAACACACGCTTCT